TCTCTCATCGTTGATGTTTCTATCTCTCTCTCCCTCTCCCTTCCTCTCTGAAAGAAATATATATATATACTAGAGGCCTGGTGCACAAAAATTTGTGCACTCGGGGGGGAGGAGGGGGTTCCTCAGCCCGGTCTGTGTCCTCTCACAGTCTGGGACCCCTCAGGAGATAATGACCTGCTGGCTTAGGCCTGCTCCCGGGTGGCAGAGGGCAGGCCCAATCCCTAAGTGCAGCCCCTGGTCGGGCTCAGAGCAGGGCTGATTGGGGAGTTGGGGCGCCGCCCCCTGTCATGCACAGAGCAGGGCGGATCGGGAGGTTGCGATGTCACCCTCAGTCATGCTCAGGGTAGGGCCGATTGGGGGGTTGGGGCACCGCCCCCTGTCACACTCAAGGCAGGGTCGATGGGGAGGTTGCGGCGCCACCCCCTGTCACGCACAGAGCAGGGCCGATTGGGGGGTTGGGGCACCGCCCCCTGTCACACTCAAGGCAGGGTCGATAGGGAAGTTGTGGCGCCACCCCCTGTCACGTACAGAACAGGGCCGATCAGGGGGTTGGGGCGCTGCCCCCTGTCACGCACAGAGCAGGGCCGATCAGGGGGTTGGGGCGCTGCCCCCTGTCACGCACAGAGCAGGGCCGATCAGGGGGTTGAGGAGCTGCACCCTGTCATGCAAAGAGTAGGGCCAATAGGGGAGTTGGGGCACCACCCCCTGTCACATACAGAGCAGGGCCCGTGGGGGGGGGTTGGGGCGCTGTCGGCTTGTCATATATGGCCTTTATTACCCTGAGGAACATTCCTTCTATACCTGGTTGGTTGAGCGTTTTTATCATGAAAGGAAGTTGAATTTTTGTCAAATGTCTTTACTGCATCTATTGAGGTGATCATGTGATTTTTATACCTGTTCTGTTAATGTGGTGTATCACCTTTATTGATCTGTGGATGTTGAACCATCTTTGCACCCCAGGGAACAACGGTGTTTTTTCAGTAGGCTCTGGGACCAGATGTGGGTCTAGAATCAGAATCCAGTTCCCCCACATGTAGAGCAAGCTGTCTGAGAAAGAAATTCTCAGGTATAGTGATAGGCATTTCCGTCACAGTCTTAAGTCTTCATAATCACCCAGCACATTTTACTTTAACCTGGTCTTAGACTGAGACTTGACCAGAACACTAACTCACCCTGATTCCTAGTTGAATGTCCGTTTGACCTGTACCTCTGTTGTCTTGGGACCCTGAACCTTAAAGGCAGCTCGGCACTAAAAGCTCTTCCATCTTCCCAACGGCTCTTCTCAGCCTCCACCACGGGCACATATTCACTTGTTTTAACTGCTTAGTGACTTAGTGGAACAGCCTCCACTTACCTTTCTCATCAGCCAAGACTCCCCCATGACTCCAAAGAATAAAGAAATCTTTATAATATGAATCCAGCTGCCAGTTCTAGGTGTGCTGGAGAGTTTAAAAGCCCTAGGAGGCAAGGCTGCCTCTAGCAATATTCGACTCATGCAACTTATTTCTTATACATCAAATCTCTTCCAGGAGTAAGAATTTAAGACAGTTTTATACAGAAATCGTAAAATGCTTCTCGCATGGGTTAATCACCTTTGCTGTGCTTCATGTGCTTCTAGCTCATAGATTCTACACCCCCAGCTCCGTCTCCCACCCCAGTGGAGTGGCCCTGGTCTCCTTATACCCCAACTCACGCTGCTCAGCCACCTACCTGCCAATGTGAATGATCCTCATTAAAAAATCATGTCAAGTGCAGTTTTGGGAAAACTATCAACATATACTATGCCTATTTTGCAATGCACTCTTTTTAAATGAAATGAACTATTTTGTCTTCCTCTTTTCAAATTCGCACATACACTTAATAACTAAGACTTGTTCATTTATAAGTACATGCCATGGTCTCTACTCTACAAGGTGTGTGGGGGGGGGGGGGCTACAAGGACAGTCGATCTGCAACAATTAGAAAAGTGGTCACCAAGTAGGTACGAAGTGAACGTACAGTAGGCTTTCAGGAAAGGGGCTGTTTCATGTGGCCAAAAGATTTATACTGAGCTGTGAGCGCTAAGAGTTGAACCAGCAAGAAAAATGCCAGCAGAGATTAGAGGCTGGAATTAGCCTTCAGCCAACGTTTATTAGGTGCCAAGCTCAAGCCAGGCATGTGAAAGAGAGGAGATGAGAGGGATGATGAAAGCAGCACTGAGTGGGGGCTTGTATGTGCCTTGGGCAACCCCAGGAAAGGCTTCCCTGAGGAGACGCCCCTGAGCTTAGCATTGAAGGGAAGAGAGGACGGGCATCCAAGCACGGGGACCGGCCAGGGCAAAGGCCCCGCTGCAGCGTGTCCCTTCAGAGAACCATGAACAGCACAGGATGTCAGGGGAGAGACCAGATGAGGCCCCTGAAGGACGCGAGAGCCAAGCCCTAAGTCCTGGACGCTGGGCTGATACATGTGTCCTTCTTAACTTTCCCCCATTAAACCAAATGCTAGCAGAACACCTGTGCCATGGACAGAAGTTGCCAGAACTGTAATGAGATGTGAGACCCCACCCCTACCGGGGAGGAACTCTCCGGCTGGTTGAAGAGGCAAGAAACTATCCTGGTGTCCCTCATAATTTTACCTTCTCAGAGTTGAGTTTAGGTTCTCCATTGCGCTCTTACCTGGCCAATGGCAGGTGTCACTCTGAAAGGAGAGACTAAGGAGTTGAAATATTCAGGACGTGCCACCCTCCCCAAATTCTCCTCAGGCAAGATGGCTGTGAGCATCTCTCTCACATGTAACCTTCTAAGAAAATGAAGCTGGGGAGACCCCACTTTATTCAAGCTGATGTCTGTGGCTCAGTGGCTACCTAGAACCTTGCCTAGAAGAGAAAGGTCAACAGGCCAAGGTGTTTTCCTGGAGCCAAATCAAGGGATAGACTCGAGGGCACCAGAGCCACAGCCACGGCTCCTCCCTCCTGCTGCTCCTCTCCTTCTGGAATATTCTCTCCAGACGTTGAGTTTACCCCAGGACCTCCATATGCCCCCTCCCATGGGATCCGATCCAGACTTCCTGTTTCCTGACCTTGTCCTGGGGCCTCACTCCACGCCTGGCACACATGAACAGATCAATGAATGCTTTTGTGATAACAGGTGGAAGTCAGCTCTCCCTTCCTATTTACCACCTCTGCTTCATGCTTTTATCTAATCTTGTCTCTGACCCAGGTTATTAATCTGTCCCCGGGAATAGATTACACATGCACAGCTGCCTTGCTGAACAGTGCGGTGTTATTGACCGTGACTCTCTGATGTATGCTGATTACAGTTACAGCAGCTTATGGTCAGGACACACGCCCCTTTCCGTGACCAGAGCAACGTTAATGTATGCGATTCATTAATTTATCGAGGCCATAGGTGAGGCACTGAGCTGGGCATAAGAATACAGAAATGAAAACAACATACTAACGACAGACACAGACATGTAGGAAAGTATCTTATATAATAAAAGGCTAATATGCAAATTGTTCCTTTGACCGGGAGTTCAACCAGGGGGCTGGGCCGGCCAGTCAACTGCCCACAGCCCCTCCCCTCAGCCAGCCCCGCCCCTGATCATCCCCCCCCCCACCCACCCCCCACCCCGATCAGGCCAGGCCAGCCAGACCCCACCCGTGCACGAATTCATGCACCGGGCCTCTAGTATAATATAAACGTTGATGCCATGAGACCACCTGGAGGACTCAGGTGGGACATGCTTTGAGAGCCACAGTCAGAGCCTAGCTGTTGATGAGAAATTAATATTAATAAATAATTAAAAATATGCCTAAAGCACCAAACACTTACTTTCCTCTGCATTTAGGTTACATGAGTGTCAGGTCATTAGAGTGGCTGACATCTACTAAGTAAGCAGCCTCCTACGTGTCAAGTGCTGTGCTGTGCTGTGCGTCACTGAGCGTGGAACGATGTTAAGATGGATTAATGGGGTGGGGGTGGGGCTACCATTTGCATGTGGCTGGTCCCGAGGCAAGATAAGCTACACTGCCACAGAAAAGTTCAAAAGATAATTAAGCCAGTTAAAAGCAAAACAGCACTGGACTGAAGCTGCCTTTCAGAGTCAGTTTCCAAGAAGTAATTTCATCATCACAGAACATCAAATGTGAATCCCATTTTCAGCTATGCAAATTCCAGAAGAATAATACCTCACATTTGCATAATGTTTGATGCTTCTGAAAGTGCTTTCCCAGTTATTAATCTAGAGGAGGCTTTATTACCACCGGAAACATAAATTGAAATTCTGTTCAAACCCAAGTTCCACCTTCCCCTCAAACCCCAGAGCTGCCTAAATCCAGGTGCTTATGACTGACAGGTGGATACGCATAAGTGCCGCCTGTTGTGTGACCTTGGACTGAGCCAGACGCCGGAAAACCTGTTGAACTAACACTACCACAGGGAGCTGCTCCCAGTTCACATTTGAGATCCTTGCAGGGTCCCAGACTTTGTGGCCACTGAGTGTGCTATGCTCACAGGGCCCCATTCCCTTTTATCAAATATTAGAAAACAAGGAAATTAGTTCCACCACTTTGTCCTTAAACCTCCAGAAATCCCCGTCAGTGACTGCCCGCAGGGTAGCCCCCGATGCCAGAGAGCTCCCACATCCTTTCTGTGTTTAGTGTAACATGAACCAGGGGCCGACTGTGCTGTACAGACGAGGCGGGGAGAAGATCTTAGAAACCCAAGGTGAGAAGATAGGATGGGGTGCGAGGACATACTTCTCCCCAAACCTTTCCACTTGGTTTCTTTTTCCATCGCTCTCAGACTTAATTATGTGCAGCGTTCTCAGTGACTGACCCCCCAGCCTTTTCTGACACTTCAATCTCATGCATTTTAGCAAAAGATTAACCCGGCTGTTTGCCTTTCATTCTGAAGCTGTGTTAATACTCAACTCCCTCCAGATTAGAAAAGAAGGAAAACACACTCCTGCGTCCCCCTCCTGGCTCCAGCAGGGCTCCCGGGCTCCCGGGCTGCACTTACCACGTCAGGAGGGCCAAGAGGACCACTGACAGGGTCACCGTCAGCACGGGGCCGCTGGCTTCCAGGCTGAGGAACCCCCAGCCTTCCATCGCTCCTGCTCCTCCGAGACCCTCGGGGGGTGTCCTGCAGGGGGAGAGGCGGCGGATGGCCCTGCCGGTACAGGAATCACGCTCTGCAGACAGAAGAAGGAAGAGGCAACCAAGAAAACATCACCTCGAGTGGGTCCCCAGAATGTGCTCGTTCTCAGAGTGTCTCCGTATAAAGAGGAAGGAAGAGGAGGGAAAAACAAAGGCTTTCTGTGTAAGGCAATGAATCAGCAACTTCATTTTCTTGATGACTGTACCGTCAATAAACATTTACGTTAAATTCCCTGGGGAACCGGCAGCAGAGCTGGCCCCATGTTGGCTGAGAAACAAATTGGTTCAACCACAATGAGGGGTCCTTAAAGAAAGACTCCTCTCAAAAAAAAAAATTAATTTAGAATTAAGTGAAGAGATTCTGTATATCCCAGAAAAACCTGGGGTGGACATCAGCCTGATGAAAAATGCTCCATCCAGCAAAGTTCATTGGTTCCCGGGCCTGACGACCTCTCTGGGGTCAGAGGTGACTGGGGGCTGGCTGTTGGTGACTGGCTGTTGCAATGGACCAAAACCCCTGCCTCAGATTAGTGCTGTCGTCCTGAGTGCGAGGATTTCTTAAATGTCTGAAAGTGTATCCACAGATAACCGCGTGTATGGATCCTTTGTCCTAGTGCTGAGCTTATCTGACTAGTGGAGCCTGGATCCTTTCTTGCTTGTTAGTCATCCCACAACACCTTTAGTAAGGGGGCGGGTGTATCCGAATCCGTGGGCCAGCTGAGGGAGCAGCCGGGAAGAGGTGGGGTGTCCACAGAGGCCAGACAGCACAGGCCAAGGGAAGAAACCTGGGCTTCACTTATCAGCCGCCGAGGTTTTGACGTGGTTGTTCTTATGATTATTAAAGTCGTTCTGGCGACATGTAAAGAATTCACGGGCAGGGAGCAGGAGGAAGAGCAGGGAGGCCACGCAGAGGACTGGGACCTCCCTCCCGAGATGACGCTCCTTAGACGACAGCAGGGATGGGAGGTGCACAGGAGCAGGTGAACTTGGGATGCATTTGGGGGTAGACTTCAGCGTTTCCTGGGGGGTGGGACGTGGAGGGGAAGGAAGGAACATGTCTGACCACCAGGTTCCTGGCTTGATCTACAGGGGTACAGGATGTCCTTTACTGAGATGGGGAAGGTGGAGTCTTGTTGGGAAAATCAAGAGGTTCAGTTTGGGTTTTGTTAAGTTTGAGATGCTTGGGAGACATCTGAGTGGCCCTGTCAAGTCAGAGAGCAATCTGGGCTGAAAATATACGTAACAAGGATGAGTCATGATAGTGCATTTATGGGGTACTTGCTGTGTGTTAGTTACTCTCCTAAGAGTGTTCATATGTGTCTGCTCACTTAATCCTCGCAGGCAACCCAAGGAGGTAAAATTTAATCCCATCTTATCGAAAAGTCATGGGATGTAGGCCTCCAACGCCCATTCTCTGAACAAAAGTTTATATTCAGACACAGGCACCATCAACATACAAATAATATTTAAATCCAGAGGCATAGATGGAGCTACAGCCACAAATGAGAGTGAACCCCTCAGGTACCAAGTACTTCCCTTTTCTCTGACCAGTTGCCCTGCTTCCCTGTTTTGCATCCCTACTTAGGTGTCCCCCAACAGCTGTACCCCATCTGGACCCCAGTGCCCCATGCTCCAGCCCAGACCTTTCAGACAAAGTCTCCTTTGTCCCGTCCCATCCCATCAGTATGTACTGAGATGTTAATGGAGCTGTGTGCTCCCCTCACAAAACAGAGCTGCACTCCACAGGGGACACCTAGAACATGAGGCTGTGGGTGTGGAGGAAGCCAGCTCATCACGGCCACAGATTCAGTCAGAAGGGCCTCAGGTATGACTGGGAGCAGTGTGTGTGCTAGAAAGAGGCTCAGAAAAAGTTTTCTCTTCTAAGGTTTGGAGGTGAATAAATGTGAGCAATGCTGGTAAAGCACCCAGAAGCAAGCTTACTTACCGAAAGGCTTGTCATAGCAAGAGTGTGATGCCGAGAGCAGCATTTCCCAAGTGCATTTGACCACAGAGTCCCTCTTAAGAGACATTTATCAACACATCCCTCAGGAACATGCTTTGAAAAATGTTGACCAAGCCCAAGTCTTATTTACAGAGGAGGAAATGAAACCCAGAAAGGGTGTGACTGGTACCAAGTCCCATAGCTGATAGAATCCAGGTCTCTCATCTCGATTTTTAGGCTCTGCATCTAGAATATATTCCTCATGTCACCCTGTGGGCATGTCACCCACACACCTGGCACAGGTCCTGCCCTGTTCTTGGAGACACCTTTGAATGTTGGTGTCCAGCTCCCCTAGTGGCACCAAGGCCACTCATTCATTCCTCCAGCTGGTATTTTTGGAGCCCTTCCTATGTGACCTGTGATTTGTGGAGGGATCATCACACCCTTTCTATGCTTGCCTCAGAGCAGAGCTACTACTCAGGGAATTGTGGGAAGTAAACTAACCAAGATGGAGTAGAAAGGTTGGATATGAGAGATATTAAGGATTTTCCTCAGAAAAGTAACATAATTAAGGATGTATTATAATTTTTATATCTATGAGACAATGCAGGGACTATCTGGTCGAGATATTTTCAGGATTATACCTTTATTCTCTGGGTATTTTCTGTTAAATACTATGTCTATTAAAAACAATCAACTCGTCCTGGCCAGTGGCACAGTGGTTAGAGCATCGGCCCTTGCACCAAAGGTTCTTGGGTTCAATTCCCAGTCAAGGGCACGTACCTAGGTTGTGGTTTGCTCCCCACCTGGGTTGGATATGTGCAAGAGGCAACCAATTGATGTGTCTCTCTCACATCAATGTTTCTCTATCTATCTATCTATCTATCTATCTATCTATCTCTCCCCCTCCCTTTCTCCCTCCCTCCCTTCCTCTCACTCTCTGAAAAGTAATGAAAAAAATATGCTCAGGTGAGGATTAACAAAAAACAAAACAAAACAAAACAAACAATCAACTCTACAGAACTGTATGAAACATACCAACTCCCAGAGACCAACTCTGTTAAGAATGAGTGTATATCGTCCCATTTCTTTTTCTATGCATATAGAAACATGGCTATGTTTTTTATTTTTATGAAAGCGAAGTCATATCCATGCCATTCTGCAAATGGCTTTTCCCCTCACTGTGTCGAGACCGTCTTTCTGCACTCGGTCCTAGAGATATGCATCTCTGGTACTTAGGATTCCACCCTGTGGGTGTGTCGTAATTACCCTGCCCTCTGCTGAATGGTATTCGAGTTGTTTCCAAGTTTTCCCAACTGCAAATGAAGCGGCAGTGAACATCCTTGTACATATCACTGCGGCCTTGTGTGAGGATATCCCAAGTGACATTCTCAGAAGTGGCTCCGCTGGGCCCAAAGACGTGCATTTCAAAATGCTGGGGGGGTGCCGCCCTCCGTGAAGGAGTCTCAGTATTTCCTCCCCCGAGCTGTGCGCCGTTACCCCACTTGATTAGACACCCCCCGGCACTTTTCCCCTCCGCCTCAACCTACTCCAAGTCTATCTTTTTTTCTCCTACATCCAGGCAGACACCTCCCCCAGAGTTGGGTCAACTGTTTTGACTTAAGTCTGGTGTTTCTTTTTAAAGCTTTCACTCCATAAATCCTGTGGTATTTCCTCCGTGTTCCCTGTGTTTAAAGGCTGCCCGTGCAGATGTCTGAGCGGTGCCTGGCTCCTCTGCTGACGGGCCCCAGCTGCCGAGCTGAGCCTGGTGTCTGGTGAGGTTCGAGGCAGTGGGGCACATTCTCTCTGCCAAGCAGAACCCCACATAAAGGACACCGGGGCACCATGCAAATCCAGAGAACGTCTACGTGTAACTATAACCCCATTGCAGCCTCAGCGCCAGCCTGGGGAGTAGGTGAGCAGGACTTTCCATTCCTGGTCCAAGCAGAAAAAACTGGAGCTCAGAGATGTTCCAAGGCTGCCTGAAATCATACATTTAACACATTCTAGAGGCCAGGCTCAAGCCCCAGCCTCTGGCTTTAAACCCAGTGTTTTTCCCACTAGATCTAAAGTCACTTCTTGGTTGAAATGTCCGTAGTTCCCCAAGCCAGCCCACAGCTGTGATATCTTTTTCCTATGTTCACCTCTTGGTGTGCAGAGTTGCCGATAAGGAAGAGGGGGGATGGTGTGTGCCTGCGGGAGGCTTTATCTCCGTGCAGAAGATACTGGGACCCCTTTTGGAAGGCACAAACCTCAGCTGGCCCCCATTCAGCCACATCTCCTAAACACAATGCAATATCTTAGGGACTCTCTGTCCAATTTCTGAAAATATGGGGTCAGGTGAGATGGGCTCATCCATTCCTTCATTCCTTCAGCCAACAAACATTTATTGAACAATTGCTAGGCACTAGGCACCGGGCATAGAATCCCCATATATAAGTCTGGGCCTTGCCCCCAAGGAGCTCAGCAGAGGGAAGCAGACATGTGAACACCCAAGTGCCATCGGTGCTAGAGGTGTGGTGATACACATACACACACACACACACACACACACACACACAGGCAGGGCACAGAGGGGGCAATGGTAGGAGGAAGGCGCTTGTAAAAGGTTTGCACAGCCCGGTGGCGTGGCTCAGTGGTTGAGTGTCGATCTATGAATCAGGAGCTCATGGTTTCATTCCCTGTCAGGGCACATGCCTGGGTTGTGGGGCTCGATCCCCTCATGTAGGAGGCAGCCAATCAATGATTCTCTCTCATCATTGATGTTTCTATCTCTCCCTTTCTCTCTGAAATCAATAAAAAAAAATATTTTTAAAAGAAAAATAAAATAAAACAAAATTAAAGGTTTGAACAAGTGATGCCGGAGCTTAGACTGGACAGATGACTCCACCCAGCAGATGAGGGTGGACAGATGTGCTGGGCAGCGGGAGCAGAGCTAACATTTGCGAAAGGCATTGGAAGCTGGGGGTGAGAGGGAGGACGGAGAGATGCTCAGAGACCGGTCCCATAAGGCACTGTGGGTCATGCCAAGGAGTTTACACTTTATTCTGGGATCAGTGGGGAGCCAGAGTAGGACCTAAAATTGAGCAGCAGTGTGCTTAGCTTTGCTTTTAGAAGTATCCCTCAGGAGGCAGACTGGAGGGGTTATACCTGAGATGGGGACACCAGCAAAGAGGCCACTGGTCATCCAGGTAAGAGATGACGGTCTGAATAAAGCAGTAGGCCTAGACATGGGGAAGAGAGCCCTGGGAAGGCAGAATCACCAGTGTTTGGTCACTGATTGAGTGTGAGGGTGAAGGAGAGGGAGTGGTTGAGGATAAGTCCTCAATTTCTAACTCTATTGATTGAGTCATGTGGTGCCATACACAGCAGTTAAGACCTGGGAGAAGGAGCAAGTGGCGGGAAATTACTGTGGCTTCAGTGGTGAGACAGCAAAGCACGAGGCCCCTGGTGGCCATGGAGGCAAAGATGCTCAGAAGGCAGCCAGCCCTGGAGAGGTCAGGAGAGAAATCTGGAGTAGAGAAGGAGTTTGCATTTGAAGAGCCATCTGCATATGGATGGGACGAAGCCATGAGGATAAAACTAACCACAGAGAATAGGTGGAGTGCTGAGAAACGGGTCATGGAACAACATTAGCAAGAGCCGCCTTGCAGGGGAGAAGCAAAGGGGACCCTGGAGAGATGGCGGAGGGCTGATCTGAGAGGGAACAAGACCCTACTTCCGTGCTTAAATGGGATCACTTTCTGTTTTCCAAAGAACAGGGTTTGAATCCAGCCACTTCTGCTCTCCAGCTTGGATGGTCTTGAGAAGCTATTTAACTTCTCCACGCCTCAGTTTCCCATCTGTAAAGTGGTGATAGCTGAACATACAGCACAGGGTGGTTGTGAGGACAATGAGGTGCCCGTGTGGCATGCTTAGCAGGGCTCTGACACGGAGTGGACACTTGTACGTGTGGTCTGTGGTTCTGTTCGCCAGCACCACAGGAGGACAGTTGAAAGAAGCATGAAATGCCTAAAGGTGGGGAATGTTGCAGAAAGGCCAAATGAAGTGGTCACCAGAGCATCTTAGCAGGTGGTCACCAGAGCGTCTTAGCAGGTAGGTCATTGTTGCCACCCAGAAAGGCTCTGGTGAAGTGGCAGATGTTGAGAAAAAGAGGTTGGAAAGGACTGATGACCTTCTGCTTCTATCTCTTCGGCCCCGCAGTGGAGACCTGGGAGAAAGCACATGTTTGGACCAGCTAGAGTAGGATCTCTGGGTGCCACTACCTGTGAGACCCACGTGAAGCGGGAACATCTCCTGTGAGGAGACCTGTGGGAGGCAGCAGCATCTGTGTGCTCCCCCGGCCCCTGTGATAATGCAGAATTGTCTCTGCTCTTCAAGGTTGCTATGGAGACATGGATGGGTTTGTAAACAGTTTTCAGGTCTATGTCAAATCTTGACTTTTGTATTGGTTGTAAGGGCAGGGACCATATTTTATATATCATTGTGCAACCACACCACCTGTTAGGCTGCAACCTTATATACTCACGTGGCTTTAATTAACATCCACAGGCTGGTGATTCCCAAATCCATCCTCTCCAGCCCAGTTCTCATCCCTGAGTTTCTGACTAATATATCCAGTTGCCCACTGGACCTCTTCTCACAGATGCTGCAGACTTGAAATATCTAAAACTAGACTCATCGTTGCAGCCTCCTTTCTCCACTAACCTCCTGTCCTCAGCCCATGTTCCCCATCTCCGTAAATGATACCTCCTCCCACTCCGCTCCCAAGTCAGAAACCTGGGCTCATCCTTGACTCCTCCTTCTCTCCCAGCCCCCACCTCCACGTCCAGTTAATCACCAGGCCCTATTGGTTCTGCCTACTGATTTCTCTCCTTCTGGCCACTTCTCCCTTTAGCCATTCATTCTCATTCATTCCACTGACTCCATAAATGTATTGGCATCTAGTCTGCGTTAGATACTGTTCTAGGCCATGGGAATACGCTGGGACAACAAACAAGCTAGATTTCTGATCCCACGGAGCTTGTATCTAGAGAAGGATCCATCCAAAGCGCAGCTCTGTCTCACTAGATTGCAGCAGTTTCCTAACCGCCTCCCTGTTCCTCGTTCATTCATCGACATTGATTTGTTGAGTTTGTGCTAAGTGCCTAGCACTGTGCTGGATGCGCCTGAAGAATCTCGGGAAGACTAGCGGGGCCTGGAAGCATTGAGCAAGGGGAAATGTAAAACTGGGTGAAACCAAACTTGAGGGTAGGTAGGGGTCAGAACACCTCAGACCTGGTGGGCCATTAAAAAGTGTACCACTCCTTCCGAAAGGAAAGGGAAGCCGTTGAAGGAAGGCCTTTCAGCAGGGGAGTGACACGATGTATCTAGGCCAACTCTGTCCCGCCTGGTTTTACTAAAATGAGTGTGGAGCTCTTTAGATGGTAGTCTAACGCCAGTACATCAGCATCATCCAGGAGCCCCGGTCACACAATGAGAGCTCTGCTGCAGTGCTACCATGCAGACCCTGGCTGTATGTTTCCTCAGAAGGCGGGACAACCTGTCAACGGCAGGCTGCTCTTGGTATTGCGATCAGACAGGGCCCGTCCTCTTTCCTGCACATTTCAGCCCCTCTATCAATTTATGTCACCCATGATCTCAGCTTGTCAGATATTAGCACTTTCTAAATTGTCATCGCATCTTTCCTGGCACTCCTCCTGGCTGAATGTGGCTGCATGTTGACGATGAGGCGTAGTTCTGCTGGTGAACATGGGGAGTCCGCAGATGGCTTGACTGCCTTCAGGCAAGTCTTGGAGCTTTCAGTCAAGCTAGTGCTTGAAACAGCCATTTTTCACCTCCTAGTCACAGGGTGCGGGTGAGGGAGGGAGGAAGGGATTGTGGAGACCGGCTGCATGCGCAGGAAGCAGAATCCAGAATCCACAGAGGCTGGCAGCAGACTGCAGTGGAATTCCAGGCAAGTCAGCACCCCGCAGTCCCAACACAGGAAGGAGGGCTCTGTGACATATGCATGGGCCCAATCGTGGGGCCCCCCAAAGCAGAAGATAATCAGAACTTTCAACAGCAGCTGCTTTCAAGACGACGTATAGAGGAGCGGGTAGGAGGATCCCAGCCCCCGGAATGGCAGAGTAGAAATAAAAATTGAGCCCTGAGGCGAGAGTGGATAGGATAAAAGCCCAATCTCAAGGGCTTGACAATATAGAAGTCTCTTTCTCACTCACCTAACCGTCCAAATGTGGGTGTTCCGTGGGCAGCTTTCCATGCAGTGATTTGGGAACGCAGGCTCCTTTAGTCTTGTGACCCCACCTTCTCCCACCCCTCAGATGTCTTTGCTGGATCGTCTGCAACCAGCTGGCCAGGTTTTTACAGATCAGACCTAGAAGTGGTGTAAACACTCCCAATTTCATTTCCTTGGTCACACCCACATGAAAGGAGGCTGGGGAATGGACAGGCACAGGAGGAAAAAGAAACAAGTTTGGTAAACACACAGCATTCCTGCCATAGGTAGGTCCCAGCCTGGAATTTATTCTCAATACAACAATAGGAAACAAGCCACTAGAACAGGGTGGAGGGGGGGGGGCCATGGAGGTCCCCAAAAGCCCTGTAGTCAGTTCAGGGATCAAGGATAAAGAGGAACTAACCTTTATGAGGATGGAGCTGACATCTGACCCAGTTTCCCCAACTCTCTCCCCAGGAGGCTGAGCCTACTTCCCGTAGCCCTAGCTGCTAGCTTGGGGTCTGCCCCAAGTTCACTGCGCAGAGCCTGCCCACAGCTCCATGAAGCCATTGGAGCCACCCATGGATGATGCTCACCTAGACCTAACTAGACAAGGCTGGTCCTCTCAACTAGACCCTCCTAGGATCCAGTGCTACTTGAATCAAGCCTCAATCCTCCACACCCCACTGGACAATGTGAATCAGAGATATGTGCTGTGCCTGAAGAAGTCTATCTTATACCTTGAACATTCTGTCTTTAGTGGTCCTAGCTCCCTGTCCATCTGCACTGGTCCGTATACTGAGGCCCAGCCTGCTTATACCTGTGCCCACCTGAGTTACGACAGGCCCTGTGTCAACCTGACCCCCTCCTAAGGGGCCAGATTCCTTCTTGTGCATTTCAGCACTCAGACTAGATGTCACCTCCAGGAAGGCTCCAGGACCACCCATGATGTCTCGTACCTCCGTGTCCTGCCATAGCACCCCAAGCGTTCTCTGTTGAAGTCGCCTGATCAATTGTATGTCGACAGAAACTGTATCTGACTCAGCAGTGTACCCCCAGTGGCCAGGAGAAAGCCTGCCTGGCACTGGTAGGGGTTCATGAAACGTTTGTTGAATGAATACATGCAGTTCTGCCTGTGCTTCAGGTAGCAGCCACCAGATGGCAACAGTGCTCTTTGGGTTATGAAGGTAGGTGCGGGTGCTCTTTCTGGGAGAACACCTGAAGTAAACTGAGGTTTGTTCCCATAATCCAAGCACGTGGTGAATCTTCTGTGAAATGTATCAGTTCATTGAAATAACCACAACATCATTTCTCAAGCTAGCCTCTCTAAGGAGAATACAGCAAATGAAATGCCATAAAGAAAGGAAGAGGAAGAGGGGAGGCTCCATTGAGCGCTCCAGTCCTTGGTCCCATTCTCCACGTGACCTCAGTGCGGAACTATTTAACTCAAAGACCCGAGAATATCCGTTCAGATTCCTGAGCACTTGATGTGTCTGAAGCTGTCCCAGCCTGACACCCCGGTGGCTGCCTGTACCTGTTCCGGGTTCACTGGCTCTCATTTTACTCGTTTATCTTATCGGGGTTTTACCGGTAGACCAGTTTGGCTGGAACAGAGGGTTCATAACTAAGGCTGGTGAGAGATAAGGTTGGAGCAGCAGGGAGGGGCCCGCAGGAGGAAGCCTCTGGACACCAGGCTGAGGAGTGTGGACTTTACCCCCACGAGGCAGAGTAGCTGGAAAGGATGCTGGTGTCATGCACACGTGTTCACGCATGTGCGGGCAGGCAGGTGGGCACGCACGTGTGTGCGAGAGCGAAAGGGCCCAGCGATGGGGGGAGGGACATGTGCTAAATGGTGCTGAGAAGGACAGACGTTGGGAGATCTCTGCCGCCGTCTAGGAAGTAGGGCTGAGGCATGGGACGCGTGGAGGACATGGAGGGTGGACATCCGGGCGGCTTCGGGGGATGCTCTCTCTGTAGGTAAATCAACTGATGGGAAGAAGAGGGAGAGAAGAGCCCAGAAAGGAGGCCCACCTTCGGGCTAAATCTTGACTTTGTGCAAATTAGAGAAAGATGTGTCTTTCCCAGGGATCTGACTTCTACCTGCAGAAAAGCGTGCTGTTCACAACGCTCTTAGGTGGACAGTGTCCCTGGACGTTCCACGTCCACCCTGCTGCCCAGCAGCCCTCAGAGCCATCTCCAGGCTCCAGGCGGGGTGAGGGAGACAGGGTGGTATGGGAGGGACTCCCGAGAGGAATGGGGAAGATGGCGGACAGCTGTTTTTAAGAGAAACGGCACCCTGAGTTTGGGTGTCTCTGGCGCCGTGGTTCTCAGACTGTAGGGGAGTCAGATACACATTGGGGGGAGGGGAGGGGTGATATTAACACACAGATTGCCAGGCCCCACCGTCAGAGTTTCTGATTTGGTAGGTCTGGGCTGGCGCCTGGGAATCTGCATTTCTACCAAATTCCCAGGTGATGCTCCTGCTAGTTTGGGACCAGGCGTGGAGAAGGGTGCTTCGCGCCCCCAGCTGTGCATTAGAAGCACAGTGGGAGTTTTTTCTAAATGCCCAAGTCAGAGCCCGTCCCAACCCACCTGGATCAGAATCCATAGAACATCTGGAGGGCTTCCCTCCACCTCCATGTGAGATTCAAAGACAGCACCTCTGGGGCCACCTCGGGGCTGAAGATGCTACTGTGTGGGACTGAAGAGTATCAGCAAATGCTCTGGTTTCTGCTCATGAATTTTCACCGTTTTGTCTCCAACACCCTCCTGATTCCCCTGAAGAGGCCTCAGTTTCCCCTTTTGCTCCGAGATGTGTACCAAACTGGCCAGAGCTGTCCCGTCTCCCTCCCAGGATCATTTATTTCACATTTGCTTCTTTCCCAATAAGCACTTGACACTTTGCTTTTTCCAGCTCTTATTTCAGCAATTCCTCTTCTGCCTTTCCCGTGGGTGGGTCGTGCAGCTTACTGCAGACCTGCCACCCTCCGCCCCCCTTCTCTGCCGTGACCTCCTCCCACCACAGCCCTGGCCCCACCCCTGCACCTCATGGCCACCCAGCTGTTCGGCGCCAACGTGTCTTATCTCCCAATGGGATTATTTGAGCGTCTGCAGGAACTAAGAGAAGTGAGTCCTTTCTCACAAGATGGTCGTGAAAACATGAGGTAACATAAGGTATGTGTAGGCTAGAAGTAAATATGGGTCTGAAATTTCACATAATTACATAATAGAGAGGTGTTGCCAAGGTAAATTAATAAGGAAACAGTTGGCTGATGTTTACCAACAAAATCAGTATGGGGCTTGTTCCTCCCTGCTTTTTCTTTCTCAAATGAGCCATGAGTTGGAAGACAGTGGCCCCCCCTATCCACGATTTTGCTTCCTGCATTTTCAGTTACCTGTGGTCAAGCGCAGTCCAAAAAAAATAAATAAATGGAAAATTCCAGAAATAAACAACTCGTAAGTTTTAAATTGCATGTTGTTCTGAGCAGTGTGATGAAATCCCATGCCTTCCTGCTCTGTCCTGCCCAGACGTGAATCACCCCTTCGTCCAGTGTCTCCACGCTGTATACATTCTCTGCCTGTGAGCGGCTTAGTGGCCGCCTCGGTTATCAGCTCGACTATTGAAGTATCGCAGTGTTTGTGTACAAGTCACCCTTATTATACTGAATAACGGCCCCAAAGTTCAAGAGCAGTGGTGCTGGCAATTTGGATATGCCAAAGAAAAGCCATCAAGTGCTTTCTATATGTGAAAAGGTATGTATGTAGAGGGGGAAAAGCATAGTATATACAGGGTTTGGCACTATCCGCGGTTTCAAGCGTCCACTGGGGGTGTTGGAATATATATCCCCCATGAATAAGGGGGACTACATCTCAAATGTGGCAAACTCTTCATGGAAGTGACCAAATTATTCCGTTTGGTCAGACTGTCTAGAAACTAGGGAAATTGCCAAGCTCAGGCCTGGGAGCTACATGGGGGCTCCTCTGCCCACTGTCTTCTGTCTGTCTCTCTCTTTCATGTCTGTCTTGTCTTTCCATCTGTCCTGCTCCCTATGCCATTCTCACAGCATTGGAACAATAAGGCCAGGGGTCTTAAACTCATAGTGTCGATGTCTGCCTTAACGTTGCATGCTCTGACATCAAAACCCCTGGATGGCAAAACTGAGATTCAAATCATATTCATTGTCAGCATCATGTGGGCACCTCCCCTTCTCCCATCAAGTTTTGTAAATTGGTGGAGCCAGTTTGGATTTGAGACAGGACTTAGGCTCAGAGCTGGGGTCAGAGGAACCCGCACACCAACACCCGTTTAGGAAGTGCTCGGAGCCCAGCCAGGTGAGAAGCTTAGGTGCAGGGGTTGGAGAGGAGGGTGGCGAAAGACGTGCTCTCTGCTCAGTGACACCAGGCTCAGGTCAAGATGACCGGATGCAGAGTCTGGTGAGGACTCCAGGTCAGTGCCAAGAATCACTATCTTTGAAACGGTTCAGAAAACCACAGTCTTTGGAACACTAAGTCGAGACTCCAGGCACCTAGTCTGGCCTTCTACCTTCATAGTGTCCCTGGCACCTCGTTGCCTGGTCTCTGCTTTAATTCCTCCAGTTCTGGGAAGCTCACTTCCTCGTGAAGCAGTCCGTCTCCTGTTGCACAGCCTCAGAACCTGCGTCAGATTTTCCCGCCTGCGCCAGGGATCCCGCATCTGTCCCTTCATCTGGTCATGACAGAGCCCCCACTGGACCAGCAGTTCCATGCAGGCTCGGCCAGGTTCAGTGAACCTTGGCAATGATCAGACTAGAACTCAGGTTGCTCAGGTCCTGGCCCGATGGTGTTTTCATCAAACAGCTTTGCCGTCATGTTGAGAGCAGCCCTGTATCCAGCTTCCTGAATCTGAAATGTACCAACCAGCTAACCTTCCCCGCAAACCTGAATGAGAAGGTGAGGGTTGGAGCCGTGTGCTCCAGACTTGAAGAGTGAAGCAGTTGCCCAGCCTGTGGGCTGAAGTGATGGGAAAGGAAGTGGAGGGTCAAAGGGCAGCCTGCCCTTTGCAGCACTGGGTAGAGATATGGGGTCAGAGGCTATTTCTTCCTCCTGAGTTTTTCTGGTGTGAAGGGATGCTACCAT